CCTCCCCCCCCCCCCCTCTCTCTTCCCGTCTCTCTCTCTCTCTCACACACACACACACACACACACACACACACAATCTGTTGATCTAATGACAAAGACCTCATGCTGTCAAAATAACCTTTTTCCCTCTTCCTCCCTCTCTCCCTCCTCCCTCCCTCCTTCCTTCCCTCCCTCTATCCCTCCCTTTCTCTCTCCTATCCTTCTTTCCCACCCTCCTGCTCCCTCTTTCTCGTGCTGCCATCCTACAATTCATTCTTGGACACTATCCTCTAGTGAGCTATTGAGCTGAAGTTGATGTGAAACCTTCACCAACATGGCCCATGGATGTTCTCTTTCCTAGCTCAGGCGTGAACAGCATCCATGCCCCAGGACACAGGGTGTGATAACATCTGTGACAGGAGGGACATACCTTGTTGAAGAAGCACAATGGCAAAACGTGAGCTTCTCCAGAGCTGTTACCATCTGATGTGCCTGCTCCAGGGAGGCGATGTTTCTTTTAAAAATCAACTGTTTCTTAGTAGACCAAATCACCTCTGTCTTATGCATGAAATTCAAGGTGATGGAGGTCAAGGCACATCTCCAGAAGGGCTGACAAATCCTGCATTTAGCAGGGTGACATTATGGGGCACAATGTAATGAGCCTGCATCCTCTGCTAGACCCTGCTCTATACCACGAGTGAGGAGGGAAAGAAGCCCACAGTTCAAATAGACAGCAGCCTAGCCAGGGAACGTGATCAAGTGGCATTTGCCTCAAGCATTCCCTGTGCGAGCTGTTTCATGCCAAGGGCTGGCTGGATCCTCAGTCCTACCTTCAGTTACTTCCAAGTGGAATAGGGGAAAGCGCTGGTTTGGGGTCCCCTAAACCTGGATTTAAATCTTTGTTCTGCCATCAACTGCCACTTCACCTTTCTGGGCCTCCGTTCAGTCACCTAAGAAAAGAGTGTGAGCATGCCAGTGCATTGCACTTCACGTGGGTCATCACCAAGATCTCCAGAGTTAAGAAGCAGCAAGCAGTAGTTCAGAACATAGGCCATACATATGCTGTGTTTCCTGGGACAAGTGACTTAACCTCTTTGGGCCTCAGTTTCCTCTTCTGTATAAAAGGGCAATAATAGGACTTATCGCATAGGATTGTAGTAAAGGTTTGATGTTTAAAGCACTTGGCAAAGTTCATGTCCAAGTGAATAATAATTTTAAGAATATACGGGAAAAACACTTTATAAAGTGCCATCTTTATGTGCGAGAATTGCTATTTACCATGAAGTAAAAAAATATATTTACTATTTAAAAAAAAAAAACAAAACAAAGTATGGATTAAAATTGGATAGTTGTTTTATATAATTTAAATTTTTCCTTTAAATGGAAATACTCACCTTGGCCCACAATATAGGCAAACTGTATAGTACTTACACAGCACCGTGAATGGCCAGTTTCTTATTCCACTCATCTGACTTTGTGCCTGCTCTATGCAAGACACTTTGGTAGAAGCATTCGCACAAATCATTTCATTTTAAATACCTTACTGGGTTGGTATTTTCATACGCACCATGAAGAAAACTAGGCCTCACAGAGGTCGACCAGCCTAAACACACTAAGCCAGTGCTAGAATGTAACAAAAGTGTGATGAACACCCAGACATCGAGACATCCAAGTCCATTGTTCCTCCCAAGAAAAAGTAAATATCTTAAGGCATCTTGTAGAAGTGATAACGTGCTGCCAGATGTCAAACTCCTGAGAGCTGTGTTAATATGAGTCTCATCTGCTTGGTGCTTAGATAATGAGCTGGGCTTGGGTTCTTTTGCCCAGTCGTCGACAGTAGAGCCCAAGGTTTTGACCTTAACCCTGGCCACAGAAGCGGCTCCTCCTCTACTCTGTTGGCCTCCAGGACCACTGAACTCCACTGCCCTTATGGAGCAGGTTTAGCCAATGCACATGACTTTCAGTCTCCCTTGTTTCTGCTTTTCTGCTCAGAGGAAGGAATTGGTACCAAAAGGTCAACAAGGCCGCATAGCCAGAGGCACACTGGTTACTCCTGTAACTCTTTCAGCTTTGTCCCCAGACATATCTGACTTTTCTCCTCTCTCCCAAGCCAAGTACATCGGCTGCTACCTGGATGACACCCAGAGTCGGGCCCTGAGAGGAGTATCCTTTTTCGACTACAAAAAGATGACCATCTTCCGTTGCCAGGACAACTGTGCAGAACGGTAGGGCCCCGACGTCCCAGGCTCCATTCATTTCAGACCCCTTCCTTCTCAGGTTCTTGCCTGTAGTGTTTCTTCCTTTTCCATGGAAGGATGTAGTGGAAGATGAGGACATGGCCACGAGGACAGGGTGATGCAAGGGTGTGCGTGTGTGTGTGTGTGTGTGTGTGTGTGTGTGTGTGTGTGTACCCATGCATGCAAGTGAGCAAGATTGTTCTGGAGTTGGTCTATGGAGGTTTGTGATTATACAATTAAGACTGTGCCTAGGAGTGAATTCGCAGTGTACAATATGCAGGGTCAGCTGGTTATATCTGTGAGCTTAATGCCAATACATAGTTATCTTCAAATAGGAGTGGCTGTCTGTGCAGGAGTCTGCGTAAATATGTGGGCAAGGGTCCAGAATTTTGCTTGTGTTTGGGAAAAGCACAACTCAGTGTTTGTGGGGATGCATGTATGAGTCTGTGAGTAGAGGTTTGTGAGATGTCCTGGGAAAGGTGAGGTGGGAGCCTGGGTATCAGGAGTATTCGTTTCATGGTTTCTCAGTAGAGAAGTTCCTGGTTTTTCTCCCAGGGAACAAACACTCACCTGTATAGACCATGTTTTCTAATCTAAGAAGAAAATGATATTTTGGATTAGAATATGCACTAGGAAGGAAGCTGACTTTCCAAGGGGGCTAAGCTGACTGTCTCCTCTCCTTGTGTCCTGGGTCCCTTGACCTGTGGTGGCTTGTGAAGAGGCCTCTAACACATTCACCTTCAGACTCTAGCTGGCTGGCTCTGGAGGCCACAGGCTTTGAAGGACCTTGGCTCCATGGCTGAAGTTGAAATGGGCAAGTGGGTGACCAAGAGACTCTTCCCTCTGCCCCTGATTGGGAAACCCTATCTCTTCTATAATCAACTTCCTGAGTGTCCACCACTGAAGTCCTGAGCCCAGGACCCTCTCCAGTTTGGGAAAGATTCTAAGCCTTGATGATATCAATTCATTACTATATTTATCGAACTGTTGGGAAACAGGTGAATTCCTCAAAGTTTCTGTCCTCATAGAACTCACAGCCTAGACAGGAAGACAGGTGCCTAAACAGAAAAGGGAAGTTTAGCGAGATGAGGGTTGAGGTGGAATAAATGGAAGACTGTGGAAATGAACTAGAGGCCCCCAGCCTGCCTGGAGTGTCAGGAGAGACTTCTCAGAGGAGGAGACAGCCAAGGTGAGCTTCAGAAGACAAGTCAGAGCAACTCATGTAATTCGGTTCAGTTCAGCAAATATTTATTGGCTGCCCACATGTGCTTCCAGGTGCTGAAGACGCAGAGATGAGTCTGCCACAGCCCTGCCTTCAGCGGACTCTTTAGGGAGACAGAGGCATGAACAGCCTTGGACAATAGAATAGCAACAGCTTACACTTGGGTGCTTGCTCTGTGCCAGGCCCTGTTCTCAGCACTTTGCAAATGTTAACTCTTTAAGCCCCACAAGACCCTCTATGAGTCTGGAACATTACGATTCATGTTCTACAGATGAAGGAACCAGAATATGGAGATTCCAAGCGTGAGGGGTGTTGGGCTGGGAGTGCCTTATGATGTGCGGGGCAGATGTGAAGGAACGGAGGGCTCCACATGGAGAGCTCAGGAAGAGTTATGAAGGTGAAATCTTGAGCTGGGTTTTGGAGGATGAATAGGAGTTTCTTAGGTAGTCACAGTAGGGCAGAAATAACAGCATGCTCAATATTTAGTGAACACTAATCATATGCCAGGCATCAACCAAAGATGGAGGTGAACATGACCCCACAGGGTCACTGCCCTCTTGGAGATGACATTTTAGAGCAGGAGACAGGCAATTTACAAGGGAAATAAAAAAAATAAACAAGATAATTTTCAATGTGATAAGAGCTGTAAGAAAATAAAACAGGGTGGTAAGAGAGTGCCAGGTGGGAGGGGTGACATTAGACGGATAGTCAAGGAAGCCTTCTCTAGGCAGGATACTTTGAGCTCAGACACGGAAGGCAAGAAGAAACCAACCACTTTAGGGGCAAAGTTAGAGTTCCAGGCAGAGAACAGCAAGGATAAAGGCTCTGAGGCAGGAACAAGCTTAGCATATTGAAGAATCAGAAAGCCCATGACTATGGCAGAGTCGGCAGAGGGAGGAACGGAATGATGAGAGATAAGAATGAAGAGGTAGGAGTGGGGGAGTGCAGAGTGAGGGGACCAGATGATCTAGGATTGGGGGCTCTCAACCCAGAGTGTACATCAGTATCACCTGGCATCTTTCAAAACAGATTGCTGGACCCCACCCTCACTTCCTGATTCAGCAGGTTTTGGGGGGAGGCCTGAGAATTTGCATTTTTAACAAGTTCCCAGGTGACACAGATGCTACTGGTCCTGGGACTATGATTGGAGCATCATTGCTGTAATTTTCACTCCCAGCTGCACATTACACCCAGGAAACTTTAAAAACTCTCGCCGCCCACATCCTACCTGAGCCAGAAAATGGGACCCAGGTGTGGCATTTACATATATGTTCCCCAGGTGATTCTAACAGCCATCCAGGTTAAAGATCCACTGATAGAAGGGTTTGTAAGCCAAGCTGAGCTATCTGGATATTTCCTGAGAGCAGGGGAAGCCACTGGGGTGAGAGAAAGAAATGGGAAGTGATCTATTTTAATTTTATGAGAGGTTCTTCTGGCAAAGGTGACAGCAGTGAGGTCAGGGTCAATAGTCCAATAGCTGGGATGTGTGGAGGTATGAGTCTGGGTGGGTCTGTCTCTCCAGCCGGCCCCCCTGGAAGTCCAGAGTGAAGTGTGGACTGGCAGTTCCTATTGGTTCCACCTTGTGTGACCGGTGTTCTGCTGAGGCTCCCTGGGGAGCCCTCATGGTTCTAGAGAATGCCTCCCAGGCCCCATGAGCAAAAGGGCTAAACTGGGCTTGCCTGCTCCCCTCCCTCCACTCCCATCCCCCGAAGCCAGAGCAAGCAACACCCTTTCTATCTGTTTACAGAATGGGTGTCCACTAAGAGTCCTTTTAAGGAAAAGATTCCATGACTGTGGGGGAAAAAAAAGGAGTCGAAAACCTTACCGTGCCTGGATTTTTTTTTGTTTTAGGAGAAGGAATTTTTTACTTGGCTGGATAAGCAACTTTAGTTTTGCCATCTTCCAAAGGGGAACGAGAGTCTCTGCCTCCTCCCCTAGTTCCAGCTTCTCTCACAGAGCACCATTCCTGAGGGATGCTTCCTGGAATAAAGGGGCTGGATTCTGGGGATGTGTTTGGCTCATGACTCTAGACAAGGGAGAGCAAAAGGGTCGGGGGATGGGGCAGGGGGCCTCAGAGAATGTGAGGGGTGTGTGTGCGTAAAGCATGTGCCATGTGCTGAAGGTATATAAGACGTGGGTGTCAGTATGGACATGATGTGTCTATGTGGATAGGTGCATGGGGGTGTAAGTCTTTAGACATGGATGAAGGCAGGTGGGTGGTCCCTGGGGGTCCTGGTCCCCAGAGCCCTCCCATCGCCCAGGTCTCCACTCTGGGCAAGTTTCTGTGTCCCTGGGCTCTTGGTGGTGGCCGCTGCCCTGGCCTGACAGCAGCCTCCCCCAGGGGTTACCTGTATGCTGGCCTGGAGTTCGGCGCCGAGTGCTACTGTGGCCACAAGATCCAGGCAACAAACGTGAGCGAGGCAGAGTGCGACATGGAGTGCAAGGGCGAGAGGGGCAGTGTGTGCGGTGGTGCCAACCGCCTCTCCGTCTACCGGCTGCAGCTGGCCCAGGAGTCGGCCCGCAGGTGTACGTGAGTCGGCCCTTGCTCCTCTCTGTGACTCCTCCCTTGGCCAGCCGGCCACAGCCCTCACCTACCTGAACACCTGCCCTACACTTTCCATGGCTCCCCATCACTCCAATGCCCTCGGCTGGCCTCCAAGACCGCCACAGTCCTTCCTCAGCCTCGCCTCCCAGCCCGCCCCATGCAGAGCCCTCGGCTCCAGCTACTTGGAATGTTTCCAAATACCCTTTCCTGTCCCCTCCTGAGCTGCCTCCTAGACCACCCACAACCCTCATTTGCACCCATCTTCCTCCTTAACAAACTGAACTAGAGCCTAAGCTCGGCCTGTCCTTCCTGATTTTCTGAAAGCAGGTTGTCTCTAACGATGATGAAGATGACAATAACAGTGAAAGCAGCAAATAATGCATCCTTTTCTAAGTGCCTTATACGGAACGAGTCCATCCAGTTCTCACACTGGCTCTTAAAATCGGCACTATTATTTGCCTACTCTCATTTTACAGATGAGGAAACAGAGACTTAATGCCACACAGACAGCAGAGGATTTAAACCAACTTCAGCACCTACATCTTTAATGCTCCCATAGAGAGAATTTATTCTTTGCTTGGCAGTACTTCAGTCTTGTTGAAAACTCTCCAGTTTCCAAAATGAGGGAGTAAAGGGGATGAATAGGAGAGGACAGGAACTGGCCCTCTTCTGTGGATAGTGTCCCATTGTCCCCTCTCTGGTGTTTAATAGCAGTTAATACCTGTATCAGGAATCTGCTGTGTATCAGGCACTGTGCTAAGCCCACTGCAAACCCAAACCCATTTACCTTTCCTACCACCTTTTCAGGCAGAAATGTTACTGTTGTGAATTATCCCCATTTTACAGTGAGGAAACCAAGGTTTAAGGAATTTAAGTAAACCTGCCCAAGGCCACACAGTCTAGGTAAAGGTGACCTTCTGACATACATAAAAAGCTTATGGCTTTGACAAAAGATGGAGGGCTGAGGTTCCTCCTGGTTACCTTTCTGATGCAGCCCAGAGGCAGGGACAGGAATCCACAACCAGGTCTCTAACCCTGGGCCCAGTCTTCCCAAACTTGAATGTGCCAGTGAACCCCAGGGGGATCTTATTAAAATGCAGATTCTGATTCAGCAGGTTAGGATGGGATTCTTTATTTCTAAGGAGCTCCCAGATGAAGCTGAGCTATTGGTCCAGGGACCACACTTAGAGTAATAAGGCCTTAGACCTCAGTGGAGCAGACAAGTTCCCCCTGGGATGTAGGCCTGCCTATGCAGGTGGATTTAGCAGAACTTAATGCCTGTCTTCATCCAGAGAGAGGCCTCTTCCATCTGAATGTTATTGTTTATAAAACTTTATGATCAGTTTGCTTGCTAATGTGTTCTGTTTTTCAAATGCCATGTTTTTGAAGCCCCATTCAAGCTTTGTTCTTCGATAGGGTCAAGTGTGCTTCCAATTTTCAAAGGGGCTGATTTCTCCAAACAGATGCCCCATCCACTTCCCCATGCATCTGAAGGCCCAGGCTGGACGGTCTGAAGGCCTAGGCAGAGGACAGAGGTAGTGTGTGAAATCCAGGTTGGAGAAAGTTCACACAACGAGTTCCTGGTTTGGCCATTAGTGTAATGAGGTTTTAATTTGATACCAGATTTATCATCCTCATCACTTTTATGCCAATATTTATGGGTTGGTTTTTTTTTAAATTTTTATAAAAATTTATTTGATCTAAACAGAGGATACACCTGGAAGAAAGTTCTCAACAAATTGAAAAAAATGCTTCCAATATTTATGTTATTTTGATGAGGACTTTGACTATCTGAAGAGATGACTTAGAGCCATGGGTATTTTGAGAGAAAGTTGCTGCCACTGAAACATCCTAGTCGATGAGTATGAGCAAGCTAACAAGAATTATGTATGTCATGAGCCAGATATTAGCCAGATGCCCTTTCGATTAATGTTTAAATTAGCTAGATAATATGAACATTCTCATTCTCATTCTCTCTCTCCCCACCCCCACACACACCCCTGAGATCACCTATTATAATAATACTCTCGTGGACCATCAAAAATTTTTCAACCAGATGAAATATAAGTCTCAACGAAGACCATTATACCTGTTATAGTAAGGTGTGTTTTGCTCTTGTAGCAGGAGAGGGCTGAGTGGTTGCTGGTGAGCAGCCCCTGAGGTGTCTAGTGGAGAGACAGGACCAAGACTAGTAGGATCTGTTGAAGCATGGGGAATATATACCCAAGACTGTGAGAGTTCTGTCTGTAGAAGCCAAGGGAGCAACATTTGAGCTGAATCTTAACTCTGAGATTTCTGGGTGAAAGAGAAAGCCAAGTATTCCAGCCATGAGCAAAAGTCCAGGGTCAGCAAAGTTCATGTGTTAAATGCCATATTGGAAGCACCTTCCTTGCTGATGTCCCACTTTACAGTTTTAGAAACTGAGGCCCAGAGAGCAGAAGTGGCTAAACTGAGCCTCCTAGAGAAAGAGGGCTGTTGGATTAGGGCCTTGAAAGATGCATAGGATTTTGCCTGGGGTAGAAGAGGAGGATATCTAGACTCATGACAAGTTGCTAAGCAGTGGGGGAGAAATCTAGGCAAAGGAAATCGAGTATGCAAAACCCAGAGGTAACTTCAGGAAATGATGGGCAGGCATGATTTTTCCAAGGTCTCTTAGGGACTGAGCATGGGCTAGAACCCAGGTCTCTGACTCCTAGTTCAGGTGCCCGGTCACTACAATGCTGTAGGCACCTTGACCTCTTGTATTGGATACAGGACCTCGTCTCCTCTTTTGGAGGGGAACATCTTGGCTCCAGCTTCACTCCTTCCTTCCCTGACCCCTGATCTCTCCTCTGCCTTGTTTCCTGACTCTAAACGATACAGAATCTCCAATGTCTTTGCTCTGACTCAGTGGCACCCCTGGCTTCCCATTCCTAGGATCTAATTTATACACCAATACATGAGAAAGGGAGGCTTCCAAGTCACTGGCACGTGACACTAGCCTATATTTCATCAGTCAGAGAAATGAACAAGCCCTCGAGGAAGCAGGTAGAATGGAAACCAGATTCCATTTGTAGAGTCATTAGTTGATATTAACACTGAGTCCTAATTGTGTTTCCCTGAGCAGTGGCATAGAACTCTTAATGATTGTGACAATTCAAAGGAGGTATCTTCCAAGCAGATGGGGGACCTCCGCCTTGTGTAGGGAGCCAGCTATGTGTTTCTGAGGTGCTGGAATGCTCCTACAGTAGCGAGAACATTAAAAGGTTGGCAGAGCAAATGTCTGCAGGCACCCTGCTATTCAGCCTTGACATAGACTCTCAGGCACATGGACTCTTCGCCCTTGTTACAAAAGAACTGAGAAATGGACTTCCTTCTTGGTTGGATTACATTTTTCACAGCACTTTGCTAAATGCGTCAGCGAGTGTAGCTCTCCTCCCAGGGGCAGAGACCTGCCAGATTTGGGAACATTATGACTTTATAGGATGTTGAAAGGAATTCCATTTGCCTGAAAGATTCTTGCAGGATTTGTGTTGCAAGGTTCATTAGAATGACGCGGAACATATACATGTCAGTCCTGTGGGTGGCTATCCATGGTGCTGATCATCCTTTTGTGCTGCCTAAAGCACCCATGACCGCACACCAACCTCTCTCAGGGTCCAGCACTTTTCCTCTTGTTTCTTCTATTCTATTTTGGTGAAAATATTATGAAGCTTACACTATCACTGAAAAAATATGTCATTGACTTACGGTTCACAGTTCACACGTTTGTGTACTGTTGTGAGTTCTGGCAATTTTTTTATCTTGAAAGTTAGAAGAGGAATTTTTTTTCAGTGCTTGTGCTTTATGCTCACTGATACTCCATTCTAACCACTTCTGCTGAGGGGAGACTCAGATGATCATGGAAAGTCACATTTTGTTGGATAGACCATGTCTGGCTCCTTCTTTGCCAGGCCTACAGGCCTCTCCATGCCCTTGATATATGTCTGGGACTCCTGAATTTTATAATTCACATGGGCCTTCATGAATTATGCTGTATAGAACCAAAGAAATGGTAGTGAGAAGTTTTTTCTCCTTCTGAATCATGATAGGGACAAGTTGGTTTGCTCTTCTCCCCTAAGAAAATCCAGGAAGGCTCTGGGAGCAATGTGGATTTTAAAATCAGGCAGATGTTTGTATGCCAGCTCTCTCACTTACTTGCTATGTTGACTTTAGCCAAGTCGTGTATTTTCTCTGAGCCTCAGGTGCCTCATCTGTAAAATAGGGACAATTCCAACCATAGTCTGTGCGATTACTATGACCACACAGTGAGATAAAATCGAGAAAGGACTTAGCACAGTGCCTGTTTATGGAGCAATTGTGATGCCCCTTCTTCCTATTATGAAAACTCCTCAATTTACTCAGAGCAGCACCCAGTTCAAGCTATTTGAATTTCCTACAGCCAGCAGGAGACTTTGATGATGCCTAAAAATGGCTGGTTTGAATTCTCTTTGGACAGTTAGGCTCTTCTGTGTAATTCAATCTCTCCCTGATTATCGGTAGCTGTTAACAGCTCCCAGCTCACTGCCTTTCTTCCTCACTGCATCTTTAATGCAGTAGAGCTTGGCCTAATTACCTGGGGGAAGGCGGGGTGGGGGTGGCGGCCTCTTTCAAACCGAGGGGAACTCTTCCACGCCTGCCTTTAAGCTGATGCCTGATGACATTTACCTCATTTTTGTGAAGCCCCAGAACAAAGAGATGATAGGACTTCAGAGATACTTGCAGCTGGTTCCGGGCTGTCCCTCATATGCCCCCAGCAAAGAGAGTTGATGAACAGTCGCTCTTCTTGCCTCTTGCTAATAAAAACCCCAAGCTGCTGAGGTCACGCACCATCTCAGCTAGGCTGGCAAAGAAGAGCTGACATTGTCAGAATGTGGGGCATGGGATTTTGTGATCCTTGGACCCCTACTGTACAGTATGAGAGGGTTTCTGGGAAATTCAGGTGGCTGGCATGGGGTCTCTGGAGCTCAACCATGTTAGAATTGGGCAGGCCTCCTGCAGAATAGCAGAGAGGTGGGAAACTAGGATGTGATGTCAAACAAGATTGGGGTCAAATCTCAACTCTGCTCCCCATTAGCTGTGTGACCTGGAAAAGTGATCGAATCTCATTATGTCTCAAGGTCTCTGCCTGCAAAACAGGGTAACAGTACCATCTACCTCATAGGCTGCTGTGAGGATTAATTGAGATACAATGTAACATACTTAGCACTAATGACACACAGTAAACAGCTGATAATACCATTGTTGTTATCCTTTAGTCGTGTTGGTCATCAGGAAGACACTACTTGGGGTCACTGTTATTGCCCATGGGCTGTGTACTGCACAACCCCAGGGAGCACCATTCTCACAGACTATGGGCACTGAAGAACAGTGACCCTGAACTCCATGCAGGATTTCCCTTGTGGATTAAAAATACTCAAAGATCCAAGATGTTGTAAGCTGGGTTTCCCCAGAGACAAAGATGTGAACCTTAGTTTGCTTGGGAGGTGACCTCAGGATGCACCTGTAGGGTAGTAGAGAAGTGAGACAGGGAAAGGAAGGAGCCAATACAAGGTCCTTTATGAAGCAGGTCACTACTGAGGACAACTGAAGCTTAATCCCACTGGGAAACCCTAGGTGGAGACCATGCTTCAGAGGTATCCCACAGAAGGGGTGAGAAGCTATAGTGTTTATCTTCCTTCTGTACTCATCATTGGCCGAAAGTGGCTCTGAGGGAGATTAACTCCCTGCAGGTTCAGCCCATGCCTCACAGACCCAAGGCAGAGTCCTGGGTGTTTACTATAGGTCACTGTCAGCCTATATGGGGATGGTGAGTGCCAGGAGTACATTGATGGGGCACTGACAGCTCTACTACATAGGATTTAGCCATCCTTCACCTGTCATGGACAAGTGATGGAGAAAGAAGCAGGAAGAGAGACTGACTGAACCCTGGTTAGGTCTCAAGTACTGTGAATGCCACCACATGGACCTCCACCCCATGCTGATATGATGATCCCCATTCACAGATGAGGAAACTAAGGCTCAGGAAGTGAAGACGCCTGCCAGGGACACACAGCTAAGTAAGTGGTGACCCAGGTCTGTCTGAATTTAAAACCAATGCCTTTTCCACTGGATACCAGAGCTCTTTGCAAACAAGAAGGTATCTACCCGCTGCTGTGAAAGTCTGAAATACTTCATATTGCAGTGGAGTGTTAGGATGCCTGAAGAATCCAGGTTGGCCACTTCTCTTTCATTTTCAGACATAAACAATGAGAGAGCCTCTCACCACTGATTGGGAGAACCAGGTGACCCATTTTATAGATGGAGGAAATAAGGGTAGAAGGAGGATTAAGTGTCTTGGCCACCATGCATGTCCTCAGTGACCTGGTCACCAAGACATAATGGAGATCAATCTTCAGAGAGAAATGGCCTTTAAAGTGCTCCCCTAGATCCCTGGGAGTCCTCTGTGACCTTGTGGTTTCCTCCCAAAAGCAGATTGGGCAGGACTATAGGAAAACCCCACATCCAACAGGTCAACTGCTCCTGAAACTGACTTCCCAAACCTATTCCCATCCCAACCTCCACCCCTAGCACACAACTTGGCCAAAGAGAGACTCCCAGCAGTAGCTCCTGATCCCTCTCTGGCCCTTTAAGACCTCTGAAACCCTCACCTTATTTGGTATTCAGGGCACTCAGCTCAGTCCTTCTCTCCTGTCTGGGAGGATCAGGGACTCATTAGCAGATGCTTAAATGTCAAAGGGAGACCAACCTCAGCAGAGCTGGGCTTATGGAGTCCTCCTTCCTCTTCCCACCCTTGCAGTCTGGCTTCCTGACATCCAGGAGGCAGAAGAAAAATCCCATCGGGAGATGCCAGGGTGAGGACTCAACTTCCTCCTTCCCTTCCTTTGCGTGTAAGGAGATAGACAGACCCACAGACCTTTGCCTGTCCCTTCCACTGCAGTCACAGCTCACAACATTCATTCATGTCTGTCTTTGAATGATCCACCCAATATTCATGTCTCCATTTTAGAAATGAGAGCACTAAAGCTCCAAAAGAGAGGAAACTTGCCCAGGGTCAAAGGGTGAGGAAGGGTGGAGCTGCCAATGGGCGCCCTGTCGAGGAGAGCTGCCTGTTTGACAGGTGTAGACACGCATTCCAGGGAGAAGCAAAGTCGGGACCAGAGCTCGCGTCTGCTGGCCACTGGTCTTCTGAGAGCAAGGCCAGCATCTCATTGCTCTGTGTGCAGAGTTGGCCTCCAGCTGAGTTTTCTGATTAAGTGAAGGTTTGTCCACATTGTTTCAGGCCTCCCACCTCATTGCTATACATCTTTAGTTCAAATATGTGGCTCCCCTCCCTGCCTTTGCTTTGTATGGCACCTTCTGTGAGCATCATTACATCTTCCTCAGAGTGGCTGATGAACTTACGGGGCTTCCCTCTGAGCACCCCAGGCCATGGGACAGGAGAATGTCCCGTGTTTCCCCACAGGGCACTAGTGGCATTTGGGTTATACGGTTTCTTATTGGGAGGTGGTAGGCTGTCCTATACAGAAGAGATTCACTGTGTAGTCTAACCCCCACTCCCCACCATTTATATGTGGGGAAACTGAGGTCTGGAGGACAACACAGTGAGTCAGCAGCCTCCTGACCATTCCAGCCACCACCACAATTGCCTCTGCTTCTCATCACCCTGGAGCCAGAGATGGGGAAAGTGGAGGAGATAGCACTGAATGTGTGCAAGCCTGCGGCACATTCTGGAAATTAGCCGTTTAATCAAATTCCAGATTTCTTCTTAGTCTGCTAGACTGGCCTCCTCAATGAACAACTGGAGGCTACTGGGTGTCAGGTGGTACAAATCATCACTAAGGTACCTTTGGCAGCTGAAAAGTAAAATTATCATTCCTAAACACCCTTTTCCCTTCTCTCTCTCTCTCTCTCTCTCTCTCTCTCTCTCTTTCTCTCTCTCTCTGTATATATATGTATATATATATATATGCACATACGTATATACAAACGCTAAAAAAGTGATTTTATACTATACATACACCCAGATACAGATATAGATGGAGGTATGTGGTTTTGCAACTTGCTTCACTTTTCCCCAAGGGTTAACATTTTGTTTCTGTGTTAATCCTCAGTGAGTTTTTTGCTAATGGCAGGTCCTCAAGTTTGTCACATAATTTCCCCTCTCTGAGCCCTGTTTCCTCTCATCTGTAAAATGAGAGTTGACTACAGACGTTGCAGAATTTCCAGGAAGATCAATGAGATGACGTTTGTAAAGTCCTCAGCAGAGTGGATCACACATAGTAGGTGCTCAGTAAATGCACCTATTTAGTTCTCCTGGTTTTGACTCATGATGCACCAACCATGTTGAAAGCTGTGCTTCTAGAAAGGTATATACAACTTAAATTTGAGAACAACCAAACCCAGTTTTAAATGGGCCTCATCAGTCTTTCAATAGATTTGATGGGCCACTTTCTAAAATTTTGTCTTTTTTTATGTCTTTAAATATGTCTTTATAAAACACATATTCTCTGTAGAAAACGTTAGAAATATTTTACAAAAAGATGGAAATAGAAATTGCCTATAATCTTACTCTATCAGTCAAGAGTTCTCCAAAGAAACAGAACCAGGAGGAGATTAGATAGATAGATGATAGAGAGATAGAAAATAAAAGGTATTTATATTTACTTAAGGAATTGGCTCACACAATTGTAGAAGCTGTTAAGTATGAAATCTATAGGTCAGAGCAACAGGCTGGCAACGCATGCAGGAGTTAATGCTGCAGTCTTAACTCCTTAATTCCTCAGGCAGAATCCCTTCCTCTCTGGGGTGTGCCCATTTCATGTGGCACACCCTCCTCAGTTTTGCTCTTAAGGCCTTCAACTGATTGGATGAGGCCCACCCACTTCTTCGAAGGAAATCTACTTTGTCTCCTTGAAGTCAACAATTGGGAAATTTCCAAATTAGGTTATCATAAAGGGAATTCCTCTGACAGATCAGTCCCTCTTAGCCTGGAGGTGCTCAGCATTGTGTGGGCAGAAACTCCTGAGGTCCAGGGTTTCCCCTAAGGCCCAGGATGATAGCAAGAGAGGGGCACCCCGGTGCTGTGAGCGGGGATAGGACTGCCCTGGGCCCTTTGCTTCCCTTGATCCTCAAGATCATCAGACACTTAGCCCTCCCCTGGTGAGATGTGAAAATCCTTCCTGGTATCTCTCATCTTCCTGCGTGGGGCATTGCCATCACTGAGAGGGAGGTCCAGAGACATAGTAATGCTGACACAGAAAAGGGGATAATGTGGCCCAGCAAAAACATCTCAGTGAGCTGACAAAGATGCCAGGATTGAGGAAAATATCGCATTATCTAGCTGGTTAAGTCTCCACTTTAGTTCACTGTGTGATTGTAGGCAAGACTCTTGCCTTTGGGCTTCTTCAGAAAGTGGTCCTTGCAGCCTGGATCTAAACTCCTTTTCCCTCTGGCTCTCCAGATGGAAGTGCAGTCTTCCGAGGCTGCTTCCACAAGCCCAACAACCTCTCCCTGGCCTTGCCCGTGACAGCCGCCATGCTGAACATGTCTGTAGACAAGTGTGTGGACCTCTGCACAGAGAAGGTGAGCCCAGGGAACACTGGAGTGGGACAGTGTGGAACAGCTGGAGGAACAGGATGCTTGGCTGGAGAGGGAGGTTTTACTATGATCCATGACATGGGACAGGGGTGTGCCCATTCCATGTGGATCCAAGGGGTAGGAGTTAACACACAGGGTTGATTTCTCTCTCTCTCTCTGAGGACACATGTTTGTTCCAATAGTGAGGAATGCCCAGTGATGAAAGTGACATTGGAACTAGGCCTAAAAGCATGAGTAGAAAATTGCCAAATGAAGACAAAGATGATCCCACCTTGGGACAAAGTGAGTTCCCCATCCCTGGAGGTGTGCAAGCCAAGGCAGGGCAGGAGTGCTGTCCAGAACTTTGGGTGTTGGATAGTAATTGGACTGGATGATCTGTGGGTCCTTTCTCAGCCTGAGATCCTTGATGGCTGAGTGTGTATACTTCCTCCCTAGCCAGACAGTGAACTCCACAACTGCCACACAGGCTGTACCTTAAACATTTT